AGCCTTGGCCTCTTTATAAAACGAACCAAATACTAATATGATGATTCACATTATTATCATCCAGGAAGCAAATACTCTTACCTGTATATTGTACTCACCTTCTGTATGTAGTGAACAATTCAGGATCAACACTGTGAACAGGCTTACATGCCCATCAACTCAGTTCGGCTTTCAATAAGACTCATATCAGATTTAAAGTAGTAGAAGGCACAAATAGTCTTTTCTTTCCCTCTTTCTTTCTTCTCATGGAATGTGCTTAGTTCTAAATTTTATTTGTGAGTTTAATTGAACTAAAGGGTACTTTAGTAGTTTCAGCCTGATTTGGAACTGCTTCTGAAACACAACTACTTCACAGAAGTAACAGATTACACCATTTACACTAGCTGTCCTTAATCATTTATGTACATAATGATGCTCAGAGATTTATGAAGCCAAAATAGAAAAGAATATCCATGTTCAAACTTCAACCAAAATATGTAGTCTGTTAAACAGTGCAGAATAGAAACACTTATTTCTGCTTTTAAATCCACATTGGAGTAAATCTTTACCCTTGCAGGCAATTTAGTTTGCTGCATGGGAAAACCAGATACATGTGTGTTTATGAGTGTGTTCAACTTCTCTCAGAAAGGTCAGCCAGGGCGTGTCTGTACCTATGGTTACTTTGCTATTTGTTTGGCTAAGGAAGCCTGATAAATAATGCTGAGATGAAACTGCTGCTGTCTTAGTATTGTTGATTTGCTTTTGTACTTATTTGTAAGCCAGCCAATGCATCCCGGACAGCAGGCTTGAATTGGAATTATTGTCTGCAACTTTTTGCTAGCTGCTTTCAGAATGGAATGGGGAAAAGGCTGAATAATCTATAGCTCTTAGAATATTCCTAATGGATCAAATCTATTAGCCAGTATTGCTGTCAATGAGCCATCTGCAATGTGAATAGCTTCTTTACTTTTTCGTGTGATTAAATTTGGTTTGGCTGTTAGTACATCCATTCCTTTCTTCCCTCCAAATAGAAAAATCACTTTCATAGACTTGTAGTTGTACTCAAGGGAGCACACATAAAAGTCCAGTGATTCATTCATCAAATTTCCACATTTGAATAGGCAGTGAGTTAAGACATCAGTCTGAAATAATTTTTCTGAATTACCCAAACACTTGAACCAAAGACATTAGAAAACCAGAAAGGAAGAAAAGGAACTAGCCATCTATCCGGATGTTATTTCCTTCCTTACTTGTCAGAGATGAGCAAGTCTTCCATTGTTTTGAGAAAGATGATGTTTAATTCTCCTTCAGGGCCAGCATGAGGGATATGAAACCCAGTCTGAAACCTGATTAAAGATTTCTGGGTTTTGCCATATCAGGGTAAGATGGCAGTGTGAACATCACTGTCTTATTTTTAATCATGCTTGAAAAGTCAGGCTGTTAGAAGCAAAGGCAGTGACGTCCTTTACCTCTTTTAATCCCTTAAACTGAGTTTCATGCCCTTCTTTCCCTCTTCCATGACTCAAAGGTCTTCTCTAATGCACATTTGTTTCCTCTAAGACTCTCAGAAAGAGTACGGATAAGTATGAACCTTTTCACTTGAGTAAAGTTTCAAAATAAATTTTTAATTTTGCTGATAGGTGAAATGAAATTCAAACAGGTCAGATGAGTTTCCCAAGGTTTTATGATGCAGAAATTAATTTTAGTATAGGAAGAAAAGGCTTTTGATAGCTAGTCCCTTACTTGAGTTAAAATGTCTATGCGATGCACAGTTAGAAATAGTAACAATGGTATTTGCAGATATTTTGTTTCAAAATCTGCGAAAGAATGAACAGGAAAATTTGAATGGCTTGTCCCAGAGAAAAGCACCAGAGATATTTATGATATTTACTGCATGACTGAAGTCTGAAAGGATCATATCTAGTCTTGGGGCTATGGCAATGTCATCCAAATTTCTCTTTGTATTTAAAATGCATGTCCCCTCCTGGAATTAGCCTTGAGATGCGTCTAGTTTGACATATGTAAATATTTCTAAATCAGATATTTAAAGACCATGGTAACAGAGAGGATTTATTGCTGTCCATGTTTTATTATTTGATGCATTTGGCTTGGCTTTATTTGCTTTGTCTTTCATGTGTGAATTAGTGAATTATGCCATTTTGTCTTGTACTATAAAAATGACAGCATCAAATGTATAGCAAGCAAGTTTCCATATGTCTTCTGAATGAACTCTGAAGGACTTTAATGCTAAAGAAGGGTAGGCCTCTCTGGTTGGAAAAAACATGCCAACTGTCTTGACTGTTTGATCAGTATGTATAGAAAGAAAGATTTGATTCGTGGAGATTTGTGTCCTGAAGTATTACTGTGTTGCAGCTGATGTCTTGTGCATTGTTACAGGGCAATAGAAAGGTGTGACATACTAACAATGACAACCTCCTATGCTGCTGCTGTTTCACATTTCACAGACAGCTAATTTTCCTTACCTCCTAAACTAACTGCTAGGGAGTCAAGCAACCTGTAGGAGCATTTCTCTTCTTTCTATAAACCTGCTAATTAAGTTACAGCTGTTAGACACAGCTGTATGAATGTGTAAGTTTGCAATGGTCATACAAGTAGTCCTCAGGGAGGTTTTCAGCCACCAGAGAAAAAACACTGGTTATTGCCTCCTGCTCTCAGAGGATAGTTGGAATAATTGAAGAGCTGTGGAAGTTTCTGCATCTCTAATAGATGTTAGTACTGTTTATCTTTTTCTTCTTTTTTTTTTTTTTTTTTTTTTAATTGAGCGTTCTCTTATACAGTATGAATTTCATTTTGTTTGGATTCCGGTTTCTTGGGATGTTTTCCTGTGAAGGAATTCTAGGTCATAATCTCATATGCTCATAAAGCATTACTTGGGATGGCCATTCACTGTCAAATTCTTTTCTCATCATTGTTGTTTGCAAATGTTTTGAGGACACATTTCTCAAAACAAGGTTTCTTATATGAAATTCCGTCTTTCTCTGTTTTGTAAATCATTAATGGACTTCATTCAAAGAGCTTCTTAAAAAATAAGTCATTGACTCAGCTGATGCCTCAAGATTTCTCTCTTGTTCTTTATTCCTCACATTCCTCTGAAAATATTTTCAGTTTATTCTGAAAATTCAAATGAGCCTTTGATATGACTTCCCCACTAGCAGCTGCAGAGCTGTAAGTCTGGGGGAAGAGACTGGGAGAAAAAATACCTCCCTGATAACATTTGCAGTCTTGCAAAAAGTTGAAAATATGTGACAATAGGGAAAAGTTTAAAACAGTGCAGCTGACTGCAATGTCAGGTATATTCTTTTTGAATGAGTCTGTGGGATCAGAGGATAGATGACAAATATCTTGCCCAGTATAAAACTGTGGGAAAATTATAAATAAGTAAAATTGAATATTTTAATCAGTAGTATTAATCATTAATAAATAATTAAAAAAAAAAAAACAAACAAACAAATCCACAACAGAACCCAGCCAAAAAAAAAAGGCGTTTATTGACCAAACAGTGAGTTACAGATCAGAATGCCATGATAGACTGAGAGAGCTGATGAAATTATATGATCAGGTAAGGTAGCATTTGAGTACCAATGTCATGGGTTTATTTTTTTTGTTTTTGTTTATTACTCAACATCCTCAGTTTGCTCCAGCAGATGGAAAAACGAATTGCAACTTAGGAGAAAAAATGTGATGTAAAATTTGGCTGGTAAATTGACGTTAAATTTTTAAGATGTACGCTTTTTTTATTCAGCGATATGATAATATATGTAGGTGCTTACTTTTCAGGTTGGGCAGTATAACTGGAATAGTCAGGTTTGAGAATTAGGGTAAACATTTTCTTGCAGAATTTGAGAGAGTTACCCTTCTGAATGGTTGAATCTTTTGTATGTTACTTTAACCATCATAATCTATGAATGAAGACATAACTTCTGTGACTAAAATTACATTTCCTTCATTAGCTGGAATTGGATTTTTCCCCATAATTGAAGTGATTAAAACTGTGATATATGATTCAGAGAAAACTATGATAGGAGTCAATGAATAGTAATAGATCAGTGAGCAAAGCAACTACCATTATACTTCAAGTGAGATTTTTCTATTGCACTTTTCATAAAATAAGCAATTCCCCAGTAGCTTGCATGTTAAGCTTCAGTTCAGGAAAACATTTCTAAAACGTCCAGTATTTACAAAATATACAGTGAAAAAAAATGAGAAAAGAAATAATAGTTAATCAACAAATATTTTTAAAAATAATTATTCTGTACCTTCCTGTAACATTCCTGAAATAAATTAGAAGTAATTCAAACTCAGAAATACATGAAATTTTAGTTGCATCACATTCCTTGCTCAGTGTGTGAAGTATGACCTTTGCATTTCACGAATAGCTTTTACTTAAGGAGTAGCTTATATGTTTGCTACACCAGCTTTACTCTCACTTTGCTCAGGAGGGATTGCTGGATTGTTCTGGTAGAGTCACAATGGGCACCTATTTTCTAGCACAGCTGTTCCTGGGCCAAGTTTTCTGTTGCATCATTTCTTGTTTAGTACAATGCAGGTTTGAGTTTTAACATTTCTGTGTAGTCTTCAGCCTAAGCTATTGTGGTGTAGCACGGATCTAACAGAACTTGAAGTTTATTTACAGTCCTTTATGAGCTTTGACTGTATGTTTTGAAAACAGCTTTAAACACAACAGAAAAGCAGTATATGGGTGGGTGTGGATATCTGGATTTGCAGGGCTGTGGACAGTGTGTTCAGTTTGGCTTTTGAAATGGAAAATACTTTGGTCAAAACTAGAAACTGTGATAAATCCCAGATCCTGACTTTACTGAAGAATCATCTTATATTGTGTACCTACTTGTATATGAAGAGCTAAGAGCTTTTACGTTTTTATATTCTTTTATTTAAGATCTGCTACCAAGAATAATTAAATACTACGTCAGTGTCAAGTAAGAAAAAAAAAATACTTCAGTGGATACTGAGGCATTTGCTATTTCTGCTTTCTTTGACAGCTTTTTGGAAACTACAGCCTATTTCTGTATGAAACCAAAAATGGGTGAGAAGGAGGTGTCCCCACATTCTTTCTTCAGTATTTGGCATGAATTCAGTTCTGACTTCAAAGACTTCTGGAAGAAGGAAAACAAACTTATTCTTCAGGAAAGGTACATTTGTTTGTTTGTTCAAAGGCTTTTCTCAAAGAATGTTATTGGGAGCAGTCGCAGAGAAACCAGTCAGCCACACTTCATTAGCACACAACCTACTGAATGCCTTTTGGAGTTTTCTCAGGTTTTGTTTTTCTAACAGATCATGACACCCACCCCCAACCCCCCAGTCATCCTAATTTTTGAATGGGATTTTAATACCAGTTTGTGCTAAAGTTTTTTGGGTCCATTACCTAAACAGTGTTTTTGGCAGAGCATGTAACTGCTATGCTACTATGAATCCAAGGAAAGGAAGACAAGTTTTAGGCCTGAAAGTTGATTAAAGATTTTCATTTGCATATTTAGTCAAAGAAGGTCAAGGCATTAAGTCATGGCATATTGTAAATATGCGTTTGATGATGTTAGGAAAAAGGAAAACAGCAATAAGTCATTTAACCCTGTGTTAAAAAAAAAAACCACTCAGACTGAATCATATTGCAAATCACATCCCAGGTTCTGGGGTACACAAGAGCAAGTGTAGTATAATATGGCAAAAAAAAATGAGTGGCTTTGAAAAATCAGCCATGGTGTCTGGTCCATGTTTAGAAGAGTTATGAAGTTTGTGCTCATCTGCATGCAGATACTTCACTGTGGTCACCCTTTGTTTATAAAAATTATGCCAATTAATCAGTTATTTAAAAAGTAATAAATGCCCCATAAGTAAAAATTAAGCAAATGCAAACATGTAAATTCTAAGCATTGTAATATAATCCTACAACTATTAGCAGCTTGAGTTGAAGCTACATCTGAGCCTAAACATTGATGGGATTGAAGCTTTAAATTCATTAAATTATTGACTTCAGCCTGTTATTAGGCAAATTGACAAGAACAAGCCCTTTTTTCAAGTGTATTTATCCTATGTAATTGTCACAGACATCTGACTTCTGGTTTAGGAAGTTACTGAAAACTTTCCTGAGGCACCTACACAGTCAGTGTTGTGTATACCATATGTATTTGCTGCAAGTGGGTACATTTTGGAACAGGAAGTCTCATAGTGAAAAAAACTGAATTCTGCTACTATAGCAAGAGCATGGTGCAAATGTTAACACAGTACAGCAGATCTCTGGGGATCTATTCCATATTACTCATTGTCAGAATTAATTTTATGTAATTAAGTATATCTTTTTGAAACTGATTTGACAGTTAAATATTATCTTGGTTCCCTCTGCAGGGATTTAGCTGCCTAATTAGTAGAGGTTAATTTAGTCTTGTATATTTTATAGAAAAGGATTTAAGAAAAATGTCCTTTTATTTCAAAATACTAAGCTATTTTTCTTTTAAAACACCAAAAAACCTCCAGAGAATTCTCACTGCAAAACAGTTTTCCTTAAAAGACGTCAACTAAATTAGCACAAAACTTCTTCCTCCTTAAACATCTAAAGCTTAAGAGAAGAATGGGATTGAGATACGATCATTTGACGCTCTCTGAGTTCAATGTGTGTGTGTACTTTGAGGATGTGTTGAAGCAGCAGAGGAAAGAAAGCTGTCTGCCAGCTTGTCCCTTCTAGGGCAAGGATGGTTTTAGCCTGAAAGGAACTGAATGTGTATGAGCTACAAAATGGCTGCAGGTGCAAGATGTGACAGGGAGGGGAAAAGGCAATCAGAAGGACCTACAGTAGGAAAAGAAACTGGGAGATGCCTTAGAAGAATGTCAGGGGGACTGTTGTTCAAACCCAGACTCGGCGCTGGTGGGCTGAGGGAGTGTTTCCCTGGCGGACAGGACTGTGTAACTTCAGTCCAAGAAGTCGCTGAGATTAAGACTGAAAATAATACATCCTGAAAATCACAAGGAGATTTTTGGTTTGAATTTTAACTTTTACTTGCCTCATCAAGTTTAAATCTTGTGCTCCATTTCTTTTGTTCAGGTGAGGTAGGGTTTAGACTTTGGGGACCTTTGATTTCTTGGTTGTGCTCAACTCTTGAGAGATCTTGGGTATGGTGCTGCTGTGTCAGGTCTAGCAAAGTCAAGCTCTCTTCATTGCATTTTAGGAATTAGAACATTTTGGCCAAATTGGCAGTAAGAATAACAGCTTTTCAAGTAAGACATGCAATTTTCCTGATAATTAAGAATCTTGTTTGATTAAACAACTGTCTTAGCAAAGCTTCTGCATAGAAAATACTTTGTCTGCAAACATAGTTCAAACCTGATATCTGAAGTTGTCTTTTAGGCATTTTTTCTTGATTTCATATTTGTCTCAATAAAAGACAAGATAGTGTGCTATGAATGTGTCTTGAGAAGTATTGAGATGTCAAAGGAGAAAAATCTCAATGGAAAAATATATGTTGCACAGAGGTGTAAGAATGTACATCATGATGGTTTTCAAAATCTCAGCTAGATCAAGAGATATGTAGGTAGATTTCTGGGACAAAAATCTGAAAATTGACTATTGCCACTGAAATATATGTAATTATTTCAGGAAAGTAGATTTTCCCCTTAGGGAAATGTTCTTGAATTTTTTTTTTCTGCTGATAAAGTTGAGGAGCAGGCTAAAACTTTAATGGTGAGAGAAACTTTCTGTAATTGTTCATTGGCAGCAAAATCAAGGGACAGATACAGATAGACTTTTCAAAGACTGTGGTATGCTACCTTGGTGAGCTATTGACCTGGTTTCTGCCTCATGAAACATACTTTATTTACAATAATTATTTATAAAATGTATAGCTTTATTACCTTCTCTCGTTTAGTTTGATCATCTTTATCAAACCATGGTCGGTTTGGGTTTTTCTAGAATATTTTGTATCCCAGTATACGGACTGCTAATAGAGGCTATTCCTTATTTAGTCTCTGCAAATACGTGTCTTACTCCTTTACAATAATTTAATCAAAGGATTTTCATAGATGGTAATATTTCCAAAGGTGATACTGTATTTTTATAGGGTAAAGCATGTATGTTCTAAAGAAAGCAGTCAGACAGTTCTTATTTTAAACACTTTTCACTTGGCATTTCAAATTCCATATTGGTTTGCCAGGCATTTATATGCAAAAGATAAACATTGATGTGTCAGGCTTTGTATTTTCTTATGAGAAGATGAGAAAAGAAAAATGGTGCAAAGTTAAAAGCAATTAATTTTTCTGAAGTTTTCTACTGCTTTCACTCTTCTCTCACTTGAAGTAAAGCAGAACTGGAAAATACCATCTGTAGGGAAAATAATGCGTGATAAACTTTTAAATACAGTAGAAATAAAAAGAAAAATGCTCCTGAAAATTACAGTAAAAGCATAGGTCTGCCAAGAGGCTTTCCGAGCAGTACTATTTTTTGTGGTCACACTGCACTTAAGGCTAACTAGATCATTTAATTAGAAATTGATACTGGGTTGTTTATAAAGTTTTCTGTAATATTTTGTGGAGATTGGCATTTCTGATGATATATCTATCCTAAATATATATCCTTTTAAGTGAAAATTTTCAGATATTACTTCTTTCTGATTAAGCAACTTTAAAAAAATCCAAAACAAAAAACAAACAAAAAAAAAAGGCAGAAAATCCCACAAAACAAAGGAAACCCATAATCAAACTTAATGGGGCATGTTTTGAGTTTTTACAGTTGTTGCATTGCTGTCATTGTCCTTTAAATGTATTTATAATGTGTCAGTCATAGCCTGTGGTTTTCATTCAGACTTTGCAAACTCTTGAAAGGTTTACTGTCAGAATAGCCTGCATTTTGTGCTTGATCAGCAAGAAAGACTAGAAGAGCTGACATATTTTCCCTAATATTTTTTTGATGTTGTTTGAAAAGAGAGAGTATGATTTTGAACTTCACAAGCTTCGTTTGACACCCTTACTATCTAGACATGAATTTGAGGTGTTGCATACCCACAGATGCAGTTTGCTCTCTGAATACATGGTCAGATAATGCGCAGCTGCAGTAACAGCTCTGCAAAAGTCTCCCCTTCTTAGGAAAACTCTCAGGCAGTCAAACCACTGGTTTTCCTTCCTGTTTTGAAGAAAAGTGTCTTTTACAAGCTGACCTATAAATGTATTAACCCTTTTCTCATTAATCACTTTCTTTCGCTTCTAAAAATGTTTCTTTATGTTTCTGAGTTAGATGTAGTCAGTCTGAAGTGCACTATTCTAGTCTAGCACTTCTCCAAGAGCCAGTGTTTTTATTTTTCTTGACATTCAGCAAAGGCCTGCAGAATTGTTGCCCAGACCCTACCATTTTCCTACCAACCAGGAAAAGATATCCTGTCCTAAGAATGAAAGATGAGTGCTCATGAAACAATGTCCCAAAAGAGAAGTCTTGAAATGTTCTAAGAAATTAAAAAGTTAAGCAACTGCTGGTCATGGAAATAAAACATAAAAATGCAGTTATTTATCAAAAAAATCTCATATTTCTATGGACAACAATGATTCATCTTTAGGACTACATCTTTTCTTTATGGCCATGAAATGCACCCTAGGTCATTACAGTAGCAAAAAGTAGTCAGTCCTTTAGGAAATACTATGTTTTTATAAGTACCATTGCTGTCAAATGTTAGTATCAATAACATCAGGTCATAGATACCAGTTCAGACCTTACTAAAAACAGATCAATGGTGTGTCAAAAACTCATATGCAGGGCCACAGTTCCACCTTCCCTTTCTCTGGGTGTGAGTGAGGTGCTTACACTTGTTAGCCCTCCTCAGCTCTGGATGTGTTTCCCTCTCTTCAGATTGCTGTTCTTGAGGGCCTGTGCAACTTTGCAAAGATTTACCTTGCCTTAGTTGTATTTTCAGATGGGAGAGCTGGAGGAGGAAAGAGCGAGGGGCACATATAGGTGCCCTGTAAACGTGGGTATAAGGTATACAAAGGCCCTTGCCTTTCCTAAGAGTTGTGTTGCTGAACAGAGGCTGTCAGGAATGCCAGCAGAGGAGACTTCATAAGCAGGATCAACACAGTGGTAAAATTCTGTAAGTCCCTGATATCTTGCATCACACTAAGCTTGAGAATTTTTTTTTTGGCTGACTTTATTCAAGCCTTT